GATATATTTACAATTTCATTCAGTCAGCCTATGTATTATTTAGAAGTGTGTTTTTAAAATGGTGGTACTGTTTTAATGTGAATTTCTGCATTTGCTGCGAAGTGTATTTTAAATCTTCTTAGTTTATAACATGCTTTATTATTATTCTTCAAGCCTCCCCTTACTGTGTTTCTCAAAAATTTTTCTTTTGCACTGTTTTATCTTTTCTTAACATTTAGGTAGAAACTACCTATAAAATTACTACCTGATGTAATAAGTAGTAGACTCACTTTTGGTAATTGTTATTTTCTCAAAAAGTTTGCAATTTCATGTAAAATTTTAGATTTATTGATACGCTGTATATATTTAATACAGTTTAAAGTATTCTTTACATATATATGAGAAAGAGAGAGAGAGAGAGAGAGAGAGAGAGAGAGATGCAGTCTCTTTTGCAACTACCCAACTTTGATGGGGAAAGCAGCCATAGATAATATATAAAAGAATGAACATGGCTATGTTCCAATAAAACTTTAATTATGAGCCCTGATTTTTAAATTTCATATAATTTTCCTATGTCATAAAATATTTTGTTTATATATGCCTATCATTAAAAATGACAATTATGGAGACTTTTTCATCTAAGGCTTTTATAACAAGGTCATATCATTATATAATAAAACCATATTAAACAAAGTTATAAAATTCGACCTGAAGTAGAGTTTTAAAAGATTTTGTAAAAAAATCATATTGTGAAGTCTCAACTAGCAAGGCAGCCATTGTACCTTTATGATTTTTTAGAAATTTATTTCATTTCATTCATTCATTCATTCATTCACTCATTCATTCATTTATATTGAGAGAGAACACAAGCATGAGCTTGTCCTGACACGGGGCTCATATTGTATATGTGTAGTATATATATGAGACTACAAATATTTAAAACTGGGGCTTGATCTCATGACCTGAGCCAAAATCAAGAATCAGACACTTAACTGATCGAGCCCCCCAGGCACCCTGTACCTTTATGATTTTGCATAGAATATAAACAATGCTTTACTATTAAAGAAAAGGAACAACTAATGAAACATAAAAATTGCTTTTAAGTTTACCTATAACATTTAGTTGTGTGTCAGATTTTGTTCTTTTTAATCTTTTATGAGTTAGAGTTAAGGTTCAGTAAGGAAGACTATCATGCTGCTGATTTGGTAATTCTTTGTTACATTTTTTAAAAAATGAGGTATAATTGACATTTAACATATTAGTTTCAGGTGTATAACATAATGATTTGATATTTGTATATGCTATGAAATGGTCACCATTATGTCCAGTTACCATCCGTCACCATACAACTGATGAAAATAACTTGAAGCAGTTCAGACTTCAGTCTTGGCAAGGCTAAAAGAGAATCTGACAGAAGTTAGCATAGGATTATTTTGTACAAAATTTATTTTGAGAGACAGAGTGAGCACAGGAGGGGAAGAGAGAGAGGGAGAGAATCCCAAGCAAACTCCACGCTGTTAGCGTAGAGCCTGACATGGGACTTGATCTAATGAATCATGAGATCGTGACCTGAGCCAAAATCAAGAGTTGGACACTTGACCGGCGGAGGTAGCCAGGCACTCCATTATGAAACTTTTAATATTTACTCTTTTAGCAATTTTTAATTGTTAATGCATCTTTGTTATAAGGAAAGCTGTTCTTTTTTTTCCTTTATTTCTGTTTGCTCAGTTTCATAGCTCAATTTTGATTTGTTTTCCAAAGAGTTTAGATCAAGGGAGCTACAAATCAGAAGAATAAATTTTCATGTTGTTTTGTGTATATTCATGGAAGTGTTTGGTAAGTGCTTTAGCAGTCCATTCTGCCAATGATTCAGGTGCTGTAAGCCAGGCAGTATCGTTATTTGCTTTTCTCTTCAAAACTATTGTTATTTGCTTTTCTCTTGCAAACCTACTTTTTCGTTCTCTTTACTCTCTTTATTGATACCAAGAAGTGTTTCAAAACAAGAAAAGCCTTCTCATTAGGAAATTGTCAGCCATAGGGAAATTCTTTAGCAGAAGACATATCAAGAGTAGAGTAGTTCATCATCTCTTGCCTGGGCTTTTGTGTTGTTGTTGTTGTTGTTGTTGTTGTTTTTACTTTTTTTTTTTTTTTTTTTTTTTACTTTTTTGAGCTGTGGGCATTTGTCTTATTGAAATAGGAACAAGATATAGAAGGTAAAGATAGCTTCAGTATTATAGTATCGGTCGTTCCTGACATGTGGTAATCAGAAATGGAGGAGCCTTTCTTAAGTCTTTGGAAGAAGAAACTATACCTGAGATGTTTTTTTTGTTAGGCATGATAACAATATACAAAAAGCATTATTTAAAATATCTGTCTATTGGCATCAGGATATTAATATATAACTCAATATATATGTAAAGTGTATATTCATTTTTAGTCATCAAATAAATGAAATGTTTAGTATTATAGCACAAATGGCTTACCAAATCATTAATTTGATAATTTCCAAATCTTACATTGAGTTTTGGAATTGTTGAGATGGTTTTTTATTTTGCTTATTAGCTTTTACTAGTTTTAATGAATTCCTGTTTGAGCTATAATTTGACAAAATAAATTTAATCAAGTGACTTAACCCACTAAATTGGTAGTCATTAAGTAATATGGAGTTGCAATAAGTAGAGACTTTCTCATAATTTCAGCAATATTGTTTATGGTGCGGAATTCTCTTTTAGCTTCTAAGAGCAGTTACTATCAAAAATGTTTTCAGCTCTTGTGATGATAGGATATTTTGTGAATACCTTATTTAGGCCATAGTAGAAGCAGTGTAACAATTTCCTTAAGAACACATGCTCTTTTGTTGGGGTGCCCCTATTTGAATTTCAGTTCTGCCAACTAAATACAAGCTGGTAGGTAGTTCTGAGATGGAAAATTTTTGGAGGGTTGACTACTGCAGGGAACCAACCAATCAGAAAGGATGCCATTTATGGATGGAGCATATTGAAGGCCCCTTTTAATGTCAAGAAGTAACTCTTCATTTGTTGGATGATGGAGAGTTCTGAGGAGTGGCCTGGATAGTGGAGAGGACTTTTGGGGGTTTGGACAACAGCTAGTTACCAACCATGGTAAAAACACTTCAGTACTGTAGCAACTAATGTATCTTTACTAGGGCATATGGCTGATTATCAGTCTGGGTTGTATGTTAGGCAAAGGAAAGAATGAAATTCAGAGAAGGATCTCTGACTAACCTGGCTATATATTGTTATGTGTCACTTAAACTCCAAATATCTGCTCATCTGACAAAGTTATGTTCCCTGTTATCTCCTGGTTTCTGTCCTTCCTAGTCTGTTCATCTTGTTCTGTCTTCTGCCTGAAACAACCTATCCTAGTATACTTGAAAACCATCTTAATTGAACGGGTTAATATAGGACTAGTTGATGTCACACAATTAGTGGTTTATTCAGAAATAGGTCTTGCCAGTAGCATCTTTGGAAAACAAAGGATAAAAATATCACTGAATGTTTGAATTCTTCTGAAGTTGCTTTGGAGTGTTTCTATAGGATTATTTATCCTGCCAAGGAATTTATGTTCCTACTTGATTTATCAATTGTATTAGTGTCCTAGAGCTGCACAAAGGACACAACTGGGTAGCGTCCACAACAAATTTATTGTCTCACAGTTCTGAAAGTTACAAGTCCAAAATCAAGGTGTTGGCTGAGTTGGTTCCTTCTGTGGGCTGTGAAGAAGAATCTGTTCCAGGCTGAGTTCTAGTGGCTTGCTGGCAGTCTTTTATGTTGCTGACGTTTAGATGCATCACTACAATCTCTGCTTTCATCTTCAAATGGTGTTCTTTCTTTATCTCTTTGCATAGAATTTGTGTTCAACTTTCCCCATTACACAGTTTGGGGAATCATACTGGATTCCCCAATCCTAATCATATTGGATTAGGGCTCACCCCAGTGACTTAATCTTTAAAAAAAATTTTTTTTTTAATGTTTGTTTATTTTTGAGAGAGAGACAGAGTGTGAGCAGGGGAGGGGCAGACAGAGAGACACAGAATCCAAAGCAGGCTCCAGGCTCTGAGCTGTCAGCACAGAGCCTGACATGGGGCTTGAACCCACGAGCCGTGAGATCATGACCTGAGCCAAAGTTGGACACTTACTGACTGAGCTACCCAGGCATCCCCCCTCCCCCCGGGGACTTCATCTTAACTTGATTACTGTAAAGACCCTGTTTCCAAATTAGGTTACCTTTTGAGGTTCTTGGGGATTAGGACTTCAACATATCTTTTTGAGGAGATGCAATCAATCTCTGACTATACTAAGTCATACTTACTAGGGTTTTCTTTTTGTTTGTTTCAGAAATTTGAGGGTATTTGTCATATTGGCTTTCATCAGTAATGATTTGTTTTAAATCTTTGAAATTTCTCTTCAATTCTAAGCAGATTTTTTTCTAAATTGTGTACTTTACACTGGAGACCAGTAATCACCCAAATCATATGTGCTTAAGTCATATTTTCTTTAAATATGTTTACTATTTTGTGAAAATACTTTTGCTTTTGAAATTTTAATGTAATTAAATGTGATGTGATGGATGATAATTTGAAGTCAGCATACTACAGATACTGTTTTTATTTCCTTGTAGAAACCTTTCCAGTAATGTTTGTCTAGTCTAACCATGGTACGTTGTTTCATTGTACTTCTTCCTAGGCAGTGAGTGATTAATATCTCACTTACAGAAAGCTTCTACAAGATGAGAATAAAATCTTGTATATAGTGTTGTAATAAGGCAGATTAAATATTGTATTGTCACTACTTCATTAGACTTCTACTTTTACTTCAGAACTTTCTTGAAATTCTTCAAGTTATGTTGTATTCGCAAGTGTGATTTCAAACAGTCTTAAAAAAACCAACGGTTGAGTTTTCTCATTTTTTAATAAAAATCGTTGGGAAAATATTAGATGACACATAAATATTTCTTTTAAACATTTCTAGTGTACTAATAGTATAAATATATTTGTGCAGGTTTTGACCGGATCCTCTCGTCAAAGTTATTCACCTTCTGGCTATCAGGATTTCAGTAAGTGGGAATCAGTGCTGAAAATAAAAGAAGGACTGCTAAGGCAGAAAGAAATTGTAATTGATCGGTGAGTCTATTTTCTTATTTACTAAATACTTCAGGCACACAGAGATGTAGATTACTAAAACAAATAGTATCTACTACTTAGAGTTTAAGAAATACAGTCTTACAAATACAGTCTCATTTCTGTCCCTCCCTCATCCCACCCCCTTAAAGAACCCCTATCAGAACTGAGGGTTGGTGTGTTCTTTCTGTTTTCTACCATCCTTTCATTTATGTTAGAGTAACTCATTTGGAAACTCCACTGTCTTTTTTTTTTATATGTAGAAAGTTAGCTGCAATGCTAATGAACTGTCAGAGTTACAGGCTGTATCTTTGTGTTTTATACTTGGAAACTATCAAATTGGAAAGCTACTTTAAAGTGCTAATACTTTTAACTAGTGTGTGTTAGATATGAAGGCAAAGAAACTATGAAAATCATGAATGTTTAAAATTAAATGACTCACAGATAAGAATTTTGGAAATTTGGGGGGACAGTTCAGAAATGTTGCATTTTTGAGTACCAAAGCTCTGAAAAAAAGTTTTTGTACTTAATAGACAGTCTCCTGATTATTTTGAGCAATAAACATTAATTTTTAATTATATTATCCTTGATGTATATTAGTTCTACATAAGTTATGTATACTTTAGGGTTAGTTAAACCTGTGTGTGTAGTAATGGGGAAATTGAGGAGACATTTTTTTCTTAATGCTAGTTACTACTTATTTTCATGTGCTTATTTGAGATAAAGTAGTAGACATTTTAGCCTTAAAATTAAATCCCAGTTCAAATCTTTAAATATATTTAGGGGCGCCTGGGTAGCTCAATCTGTTGTGTCTGACTCTTGATTTTGGTTCAGGTCATCATCTCACAGTTGTGGGCTCAAGCCCCACATCGGGCTGTGCGCTGTCAGCACAGAGCCTGTTTGGGATTCTCTCTCCCTCTCTCTCTGCCCCTCCCCCACCTGTGTGCTCACACACACTCTCTCTTCCCCAAAATAGATAAATAAAACTTAAAAGATATTAAAAAGATAAGTATATTTAATAGCTGAAGTTTCAGAAGATTTTGCTTAGGAATTTACCATTATTAAGCAGTATCTACTGGAGGGTAACTAGAGCACGGATATCTGAACTTTTTTCTCTACTGTGTTCCCAACATCTTGAACAGATCCTGGCACTTAGTATATGCTTAATGTTTGATACTTGTGAGGCAGGAGGGAAGAAAGACTTGAGAGACAAGTTGACCAGAGTAAAACCATTTTGATTTTAGGCTGACTCTTAACCTGAAGGTCAGCAAGTCATAAAAAAGAGTCACAAGATCTGACTCATAGAAAACCACAAGACCCCACTCCCTCTGGCAGTAAAAGCCACATAGGTTGGACATTCTTAAAATTGTTCCCTGTGGGTAATTCCAAAACTGTAAAACAATGGAAAAACCAAACTGCCCAGTGTGAATGAAAAACCCCAAGTTAAAGAGTACGCTCCTTTCTGTATGGTTAGCTAATTTTATTTTTTTTTAATTTTTTTTTTCAACGTTTATTTATTTTTGGGACAGAGAGAGACAGAGCATGAAGGGGGGAGGGGCAGAGAGAGAGGGAGTCACAGAATCGGAAGCAGGCTCCAGGCTCTGAGCCATCAGCCCAGAGCCTGACGCGGGGCTCGAACTCACAGACTGCGAGATCGTGACCTGGCTGAAGTCGGACGCTTAACCGACTGCGCCACCCAGGCGCCCCTGGTTAGCTAATTTTAAAACAAGCTTATAAAACCCTTTGTTAGAGACAAAGAGGAGCCATCTTCCTCACCTGGGAGGAGAGACCACTACGTTGTCTGTGAAGTAGCAGCTTTCTTGTTTCTACACTTAATAAATCTTTGCCCCTTTCTCTAAATGGCTAGCTCTTAAATTCTTTCCCACACAAAGTTAAGAACCCTCTTGGCCATGGGCCTGACACCCTCCCTCTGGAGGCCTTGCCCGTCTGACATCACTTGCATATTTGATAAATGAATGAAGATTCTAGAAGATAGTTTTGATTGAGTTTATGAAAAGGCTGTATAAAAGTATTAGATATTTTTAGTACAAGTGAATTTTATAAGTGGGTAATTATAGACCCTGATGGACATATGTTTTGTACACTTAGAAATTTAATTCACTGTACATACTTGAAATTAATATTTTTTAAGCAGACTGAAATTCAGAATTTTATTAATATGGGTGTACTCTCCCTCAAAACAATCAGAATCTATTGACTTTTATTATTTTTTAAACACCATTGTAATTACTGTTCCACGGGGTATAAATAAGTTAATAGGTATCTTAGTTCATTTGGGCTGCTTTAATAAAATATCATAGACTGGGTGGCTTACAAACAACAGAAACTTATTTCTCCTTGTTCTGGAGACGAAGAAGTCCAAGTTGAAGGCACCAGTAGAAGATGCATTGTCTAGTGAGGGTCTTCTTTCTGTTTCATAGATGGCTGTCTTCTTCCTGCAACCTCACATGGTAGAAGAGGTGAGGGAGTTCCTTGGGGCCTCTTTTATAAAGGCACTAATTCTATTCATGAGAACTCTGCCCTCATGACCTAATCATCTCCCACAGGCCCCTAATCTCCTTATACCATCACATTGGGCTTTGGGATTTAATATATAAATTTTTTGTTGGGGCGGGGCACAAACAGTCTATGACAGTAGGAAATGCATATAATTATCAACATAATCTGTTAAAAATGTATATATTTCCCAAGTTTGTATCCTGTAGAAAGGTACTAAGGAAATAATCTAAAATAATTCAAGTTGCTCAATTTTGCATTTCTTTATCTAGTCGCATTTACCTATGCAGCTCCCTTCTTATAACGAGTTTTAGAGCATGAGGCTTCAGTGAGTGAATGTATTTAAAAATCTTAATACTGCCAGATGCATGGGTACCATCAGCAAATAGTAGCCACATACACATGATTTGCAAATGATAGTTTTGTTTCTGGGCTTGTTTCTCCTCAGTAGACTCCAGCCCCCTCACAGAAGAGACTGTTTCTTGTACATTTTATTCCTCATAATAGGTACTCACCAAACATTCATTAAGGGGAAATAACTTCATTTTAATGGAAAAGAGGTTAAGGTTGCTGGTTAACCTGTGCTGTTACTGATACTAGTAGTTCTTATAATTGCTCAGCTTTTGCTACTGGATTGATCAGATAAAATTTAGGGATAAGTCATTGTACTTGAGACTGATCCAGAGAGGCCACCCTTAAACCTTCTGCAATGACACAGTGAGTTAATGCTATTAGTAAATGACACTGGCAGGGTAGAGGGGAATTCTCATTTTATCGTTACTTATAGTTTGCAATATGTATATTTGCTATTTAATTGTGTGTGGAAGTAAAATCACATAATTGTATTAGTAAGCTTTTAAAAATCAGTAGTGCATTCTTTGGTGTAGTGTGGATACTTATATTATTGAAACCATAGCATCCGTTTAATTGCTTTACATGCTAAGGTTTATGATCAGATTTATTAAAGCAAGGCCTAGATGTACATACTATGGTTATTAAAAATTATTGGAACTCCATCCTTAGGTATTTGATAAGTTAACATGTGAGATTTTATTCATGGCAATTTGTAGTACATGTCTTTTACTTTGAGAGGGACTCCATAATGCAAGAATAGTTATTTTTCATCACAGGTGTTGAAGTGAGGTTTGGTTACCTTTTTTTTTAATTTTTTTTTTTTTTTAATGTTTATTTCTGAGACAGAGAGACACAGCATGAGTGGGGGAGAGGCAGAGAGAAAAGGAGACACAGAATCCGAAGCAGGCTCCAGGCTCTGAGCTGTCAGCATAGAGCCTGATGCGGGCCTCGAACTCACAAACCGTGAGATTATGACCTGAGCCGAAGTCCGTTGCTCAACTGTCTGAGCCACCCAGGCGCCCCAAGATTTGATTACTTTTATCAACTGCTTTAAACATTTAGATAGTTTTAATAGTTCATTTCTAGCTAAGATATTTTGGTTGTTTATACCTAGGCATATAGTATTATAGAATCAATTTCTAAATTTACATTTGACCTTGAACAGCGTGGTGGTTAGGGACTCTGATCCTTCTGCACAGTTGAAAATCCATGTATATAGCAGCACTCTCAACAATAGCCAAATTATGGAAAGAGCCTAAATGTCCATCAACTGATGAATGGATAAAGAAATTGTGGTTTATATACACAATGGAATACTACGTGGCAATGAGAAAAAATGAAATATGGCCTTTTGTAGCAACGTGGATGGAACTGGAGAGTGTGATGCTAAGTGAAATAAGCCATACAGAGAAAGACAGATACCATATGGTTTCACTCTTATGTGGATCCTGAGAAACTTAACAGGAACCCATGGGGGAGGGGAAGGAAAAAAAAAAGAGGTTAGAGTGGGAGAGAGCCAAAGCATAAGAGACCGTTGAGAACTGAGAACAAACTAAGGGTTGATGGGGGGTGGGAGGGAGGAGAGGGTGGGTGATGGGTATTGAGGAGGGCACCTTTTGGGATGAGCACTGGGTGTTGTATGGAAACCAATTTGACAATAAATTTCATATATAAATAAAAAAATAATAATAAAAAAAAAAAAAAAAGAAAATCCATGTATAACTGTTTACTTCCCCCAAACCTAAGTGCTAATAGCCTACTGTTGACCTGAAGCCTTCCTGATAACATAGTCAATCAACACATATATTGTATGTATAACATACTGTAGTCTTAAACTAGAGAAAAGAAAATGTTATTAAGAAAATCATAAGGAAGAAGAAATACATTTAACGGTATTATATGTTATTTGTTGAAAAAAATCTGCGTATCAGTGGATCTGCACCTTTCAAACTTTTGTTGTTCCAAGAGTCATATTGTAGTTCAGTCCCACCTTCTGTACTGCAATTCAGTTTTGACACTAAATACCCTAAGTTAGCATCAGACTCCACAGCTTTAAGGGCACACAGTCCCCAACAAGACTGCCTATCTTCAGATGCCAGTCTGAAGGTGGCATCACCAGGATATCCACACTT